AGGAGAAAGCGATGTGTGGTGGGGGGGGGGGGGGGGGAAGACGCCGAGAGTTATTAAGCTAAAAACAACAACAACAAAAAACGCAATGTCGCCCCTTTAAGAAATGCTTTTGAAGCTTTTTGGCCCTAACAGGCTGCTGGCAGCCGTCCGCCATCTTGTTGTCTTGCTCTGGGCTGGACAGCTCGCCTGTGGAACCCGGAAAGCACTCGGGATTTTTGCCTCCTGTCCGGGGAAAAAAATCAGAAAATAGTAGACATTTTAGGTGTCCGGTATTTTCTGAATTTTTTACCTGACAGTAGGTGAAAATACCGGACTGTCCGGGTCAATACCGAACACCTGGCAACCCTATGGGATGGGAGAGACAGGGAGGGAGAAGGTGCTCAGGCTGGCGGAGGGAGGGGGAGAAGGGGCCCTCTCTGGCAGAAGGGGAGAAGGAGCCCTGGCTGGCGCGGCTGCAGCCCCGCCCTCTCTGGTGTCGGGATGAGAGCCGGGGTTGCCTACCCCCCATGAAAGAAGGGTTGGCAAGCGCAGCGAGCAGGCGGTGCAGCTTCCTAGAAATTCTTCAAAGGAAAATATGCACTCAGTCTAACAGTTTCAGTTTAAGGCTAAAAATACTCTTCATATGCAGTGACTTTGACAGTGACATTTTAAAAACTTATTTATGTTACATAGTGTTTTTTACCATATAAACTTTCAAGTTTGTTGACTGAATAATATCAATACTTTTTTTTTTTTTTTTTAAGATGCTAACAGAATAGCAAGTAGGCAAGACCAACTAAAGCTCAGCTTCAAATGATGGTTTAAAGTCTTCCTGAGCAAATACACATAGGGGAAGAGAACCTAGGAAACTAACCATTAGACAGCTGATTAATTTTTATGTCAATTTACATTTATAGTACTATTTTAACCCTGTCTTGCACAGTGCTGTGTAAAACAGAAGTATTTCCAAACAGTTGGGTTTAGAACAGGTTCATACTGATGTAACCCTTCACATTTATTATTTTATTACTAGTCATAACAAACTGAAAAATATTCCAGAAGAGCTGACACAGTTGAGACAACTGAAGACCCTGCTTCTTCAACACAATGAGTTGAGTCACTTACCAGATGGGTTTGGACAGCTTATCAGTTTAGAAGAGTTAGTAAGTTGCATCTTTTTTTTTTTTTTTAAATGATTTTTTTCTTGGTTAGCTGGTTTATCTGTACTTTGCTATAGGCAGATGAAAAAGCCTGTCCTGGACAGGGCTTCCACCAAAACTCACTTCATAAGAATTTTAAAATATTCGAATGATTTCTGTGTACCATTGGATGTGGCACTAGATCTGATTGAAACCATGTTCTTTAGTTTGCCAAATGTTTGAGCTTTTTGCAGCATCACACATAGCTAAAAATCACGTATAGAAAATATATGATCTTGAAGTTGAATATTAAAGCTTTTCAAATGCATCACAAAAAGTCAGAGACTTGGGCTTCTAAGACACTTGGGCACGTTCGAAAATCCCTTCACAATCATCATCATGGATAGGTCAATGAAATAATCCATCAATACATAGCAGCAGCCAAAGAAAATTTCACAAAAATGTAAGAATGTTTGAGGTATGGGAGAGGAAACAATACTATAGTTGCTACTACCGCCACCACTGCTTGAAAAATCACATTTTCTGTTCCTGTAAGTTCCCAAACATGCCACCCAACTAAGTTTGATGTTTTCTCAGGAATTAACTTTTCACGTGGGCTGTTTTTAAAAGCCATTTCTCAGGTGTGGTTTTTTTTTCCCCCATGCCCAGGACATTTCCAACAACCAACTTGCAAGCATTCCATCCAGTTTTGCTTCCTTGACCAGTTTGCTGCAACTCAATTTGGCCCATAACCAACTGAGGATCCTTCCTGCAGAAATCAGCACATTGAAAAGTAAATTAGTTTCTTACAGCATTTTAAATATCTTACAATACATTGATAATCTCTTATCTTAAAAGATGTTGCTTGAGTTTTTATTGCAATTGAATAAATAGGTATAATGTGACGTATTGTAAATGGCTGCAGTAAGTTGCAGGTAACAGGTTATCATGGATATTTATCTTTAAGGTTTCTGATAGCTGGCATTTCTTGACAGAACGTGAAGATTATTCAGAGAGGAGCAAGGATGAAGCTTGTTCTACTTAGAGGCCGCTGTTCTTGTTAACACATAACATATGAGCCTTTTCTTACAGCTTATGCTGTATGGAAAACAAGTGCATAAAAGAGATAGAATTAGAGCTGGAGAAAGTATACATGGATTACTTACACAAGTTGAACTTTAATCTTCAAAGCATCTTAAATCATCAGGTTTAATAGCCATTTAAGCTACAAGTGGACTATATTTGCTATAGCAGACAAAGAGAAACAGATTGTGTACTGAGGGTAGAATGTTAGTTTCTAAACTGCTGTAGATAATGTGTGTAGACCAGCTTGAGATCCCTCCATGCCACGTCCAATCCAACCTCCCCCTACTTTGTTGCCAATATTCTGCTTGGTCTTTGAGTAATTAATGTGGGTAGAGTACTCTGAAAATCTTTGAATTCTGTTTATAATTAGACAAACAAAACATTTGCAAATACTAAAGTGGAAGTATTTCTAAAGTTAGCAGCTTCCACATTTTAGAAAACTGTATTTCTGTGTGCCAGCTTCTGCATCTTTAGTGATAGTAAATGTTAGAATTTTTGATATTTCTGTTTTTTACCACTCTAGGCTTAAAACAACTTGATTGTACTAAAAACCACTTGGAAACCATACCTTCTGAACTGGCCAATATGGCATCTTTAGAACAGCTTTATCTACGAAAAAATAAATTGCAGAACTTACCAGAATTTCCATCATGCAAGTTACTGAAGGTAAGTTTTGTTACAGGTTCTGTAATGTAAATGTATGGAGTAAAATTTGTTCTTAACCTTGTTTTGCTCTTATGAACATATAAGTTATCACAAATTACTTTAAACATTAGCTTAAACTACAGTTCTAGGCACAGAATTGTTACCAGTGTGTATAATAATGATTATTTTTAGATCTGAGAAAGTGGAAAATTTTGATTGCTTTTAAGGGGAATTACTGAAAAATTGAATGTAATGATGTGCAGTAGATATTATTTATAGTATTCTCTAGAATTGCCTTGTTTTCCCAAGCATTTTGTAAAACAATGGACTGTCAGTCTGATCTGTGTCCTATCTAATATAAAGATGGACCTGTCTTGAGTAAAGGTATTCTGAAAATGGCTAAGAGAAGCACATCTCTCCATGTATAGACTGCAAATTGTATTCAGATTTGTTTTGTGATTAGAAAACTGCATCCCCCCCAAAAAAAAAAAACCTCATTAACATCTGCAAGGCCTAGTTCTGGTGCATTTTGTGAGTTGTAATAGATATTTATAGTTAAAGCCAGGACTGGGCAACCTCAGGCCCGGGAGCTGGATGCAGCCCCTGGCTTGCCTGGATCCTCCCCCCTCCGCATTGGGGAGCCACTGCTGGCACTCCAGCCCCCCCACTGCTCCACTATGGGCCTAGAGAATACAAAATCTACTAGGCTTAGCTCTCCCCGCCCCCTCCCAGGTTTTGGTGTTGGAGGAGAATATGAAGAGTGTCTTTTTCCTTCTCAGTTGGGGGCCACGTCACTTGTGTGCAGCCCCCTGACTGATTTTTCTGTGGTTCAGTGGCCCCTGACCCAAAAAAGGTTCCTCACCCCTGGTGTAAACCTATAGCAAAATTTACATTTTGCCAAAGAAATATAATTTTTAATGATCTCTGTTTCTATAGGAGTTACTTGTTGGTGAAAATCAGATTGAAGTATTAAATGCAGAGCACCTTAAGCATCTGAATTCTCTCTGCGTATTAGAGCTTAGAGATAACAAGCTAAAATCGCTGCCTGATGAAATTACTCTGCTGCAGGGATTGGAGCGACTTGACTTAACCAACAATGATATCAGTAGGTAAGATTAAAAACCATATGAATCTGTGGTAATGAATAGCTAATGAAATCAGTCTTCATTATTTGAAGCAGTGAATTATTATTCTAATAATTCTGTAGATATAAACATATCTACAGAATTGTGCTTCGTTGTTTTTTAAAACAACTAAATGATTTGGCTATAAAATAAAATAGAACCCTGAGAGGTTTCTTCTGATTCATTTTACCTTTTGTGGTCTTGATTCCACTGCATCTCCATTTTTACATGTGTTACTCTTGTGTAACTATTTTTACTATTAAATCTAAGATTTAGAATAGCAGGTGATCTGACTGACCGGTGCTAATCATATACTGGTTTTGTTGAAGTCACTCTCTAAAATGAGCTACTTTTATTTGCAGCTTGCCTTATACTCTGGGGAACCTTCCTCAGTTGAAACTCTTGGCAGTGGAGGGAAATCCTTTGAGAGCTATTAGAAGAGACATTTTACAGGTTAGTACACATAGGAATCAGGTACTGCTTGATATATTAGGACTTTATTCAGAGTACAAATGCAAGCACTCTAAGTTAGGAAATGTCAGAATTAAGGTTGCCTGGGTAGCCTTAATTCATAGCATTTCCTGCAGCATGTGTACATTATGAAAGTCTTTAGTTATGTTATTATATTGTGTCTTTTTGCCCTGAATCCCTTCCTCTTTCAGTGCTGAGGATGGCTGATGATAAATTAATGAGGAGCTATTCTGTATATTTTCTCCTCATTTTTCAGTGTGTGGTTTGCATGCTATTTAAACCCTGTTCTGAATTACTAATTTTTGGGCTTTTCTGTGACACTCTGAAGGATTTGTCTCCTTGTGGCCAGGTGTAGGCTCTGAAGCAGGCTCTGGTCTTTCCAAATATGCCCTGCAGACAACAGCTCCAGCCCTGCATAGTCTGCCTTCTCTTATGACTTAGCCCTCCATCCAGGTCACATATTTGTCTGCCCTTTGCCCTTTTTGGGATATACAAAGAGTCTAGCAACAGACAACCTATGTTCAGGTGAAGGGCTCCAGGTCTCACCTTGGTTGAGGTCTCAAGGTCTTAACTATTCTTTGACTGCAGAACTTTCTGTTGTCCAAATTCCCATATATCAGGAGTAGGCACCTGCCCTCTCCTAGAGTTTCAATTCCAGATGCAATAGTAGGCAATTAAATTATGCACCCAAAATATTATTCTGCTGCTTCCTTGGATCACTTTCTACCAGCTCCCCCTTCCACAGTGCATAAAGTCACTAAAAACTGAAATCAGAGGTAGCGTCAGACCTTGTGAGTGTTTGTGCATCCTTTCTGTTTGAGTTTGGCAAAGAAACTACAGCCAGAAAAAACAGGCAGCTGGCTCCATGTTCTGTATTATAAGCGGTACTGCAGCTCCTGCAACAAACATGTCGGGGGTCTTTTGGAAAAATTGGTATGTGAATACGGAACCAAAGAATGTACCATAGTGCACAGGCATAAGAGGGGACAAATTAAGGTTACACAAGCAATATTAATTCTGGTGCTTACCAGCTTTTGGGTACATGACTTAGTAACCTTAATAATGTTCTTTTAGTATATTTTTGTGTAATTTCCTATATTTTTAAAGAGCCAATTGAAAAATCAGAAATTCCATCATTTGCTATTATAGTGATACCCACATAGTTCATCAGCAGGGTTGAAACCATTAGGTTCGCCACATAGACCTCTGCCACTTGAGTAATGGATAATAATAAGGTGCTCACCTGTAGTGCTGTCCTCATAGAGGATTACAGGCATATTTTGCCCGTGGGTTTGACATATATTTGCTGATAGCAGAAGATGGATGGGACTCAGAAAACTTGGATTTTTCACCAGGTTCTAGAAGAGAATGTTCTCTAGTAGTCACAGATCCTTTTGCCCTGTTTCTTTAAACCTGTCCCAGTCCTCTCTTTTTCCCATCCCTGGCTCCTTGTCTGAGTCCCATTCTTCTCTCTGTAATCTCAGTCTCCAGACCTCAGGCTTCTTATCTCGGTCTCTGTGCCTAGCCTTGTCTCCCACTCCAATTTGCCTGTTTGAGTCCCAATTCCTCTCCTCCATTACTATTTCCCTTGTTTCCTCTCCAGGCAAACATCTTGTCCTCTGTCTTCTTTCCCAACCAGTCCCAGTTCCACACAGCTCCTTAATTGCTCTGTCTCAGACCCAAGGGATTCCCAGTGTTTCACCTGGGTTTTTCATTCCATCTCAGATTCTGACCCGAGTCCTGCCTGATTCCTTGTTCCAGTCTCCTGTCTCGGTTTCCTTTTCCCAGTCTTTTCACCCAGCCAGTGCCAATGCCCTTCCCATAGCCTAACTCTTTGTTGAATGTTTTCATTCCCTCCCCTTCCCCAGGCTCTCGTCAGCAGATCCCAGCAGTCTGTCTTTTTTTTTTCTTCCTCCTCACCTTTTCAATCCCAGTCTTTTCCATCACCAGCTCCTTATCCTAATCTCCTTCTTCAACCAGTTCTGTCCTCTATCCTGGCTCCCAGTCTCACTCTTCATGCTCAGCCAATTCTAGCTTCTCTTCCCCTTGGACTCTCAATCCCATTCTCCCTCCTCCCCAAATTCCCAATCACAATTTCTCTCTCCCTCCTCTTTCCCCTCACTAGTTCAGATCTTGTCCCCTCTGCATTCCAGTTAGGCTCCCTCCCCCCATGCTACCTGGCTGTTATCAGGGAGAACACTGAGAGCACTTCAGAGACAGGCTACATTTCCTACTCCTGCAGTATGCAGTGACGGTAATTATGGAAAAATATGGCTCTGCCCCTATCCTGGGGCAGGAAGAAACATGCCAAGTCACTTTGTGGGGAAGAGTGTCCAGAAAGTGGACTGATCACTCTTAGGAAGTCTCTGCTGAGTTTGTCCGAACTAAGATTTTTTTTGGCATTTATTAAATTTAGTCAAATCTGGGTGGATGTTTACAGGAACAAAGGCCTACCCCCTGCCAAATTTCACTCTTTGCTCCAAAGCATGGAGGCTTAGAGCAGTGTTTCTTAAACTGTGTTACATGGCACACTGGTGTGCCGTGGAGAACAGAATTCAAAATGTCCTCCCTTAAAGGGGCAGGTGACCTTTTTTCTTTTTGTGCTCAATAACTTCCCCCCAACCCTTTCTCCCCCCTTCCCTCCCCGACCTTTTTTTTTTTTTCTCCCCCTCAACAAAAAATCCTTGGTGTTCCTCGTTTTAAAAAATATATATTGTTTGGTGTTCCTTGGACTTAAAAAGTTTTTGAAACACTCCATTAGAGCTTTTTAAAGAAAAGATCACCACCATTTTTTAATATTAGCAAAACAATGTATTTTCCCCTTACTTCATCCTTGGAAATGACTGATATTTCCCCCCAAAATTAGCCTGAAGCAGAATACCAGTCATTGCAATTTTTAGCCCAAACGGTGAAAGTTTGGCAAACCTGATAGTCGACTGAGAACATGATCCTTATGGTAGGAAAATTAATAAAATGGAGTGCTATTTTCACTCCTTGTTTGTAATAAACCTACAGAAATACTGATAGACAAGTGCTTTTGTCTTCATGTTGTTTTTCTTTGCATTTTTAGAAAGGCACCCAAGAACTCCTGAAGTATCTGAGAAGCAAAATCCAAGGTACAGCATTATTTTGCAATATATGTTGAAAGAAGAGACTTTTTTTTCTCAAGTATTGAGGCTTTAAATGCTTTAGAACGTAACCAGGGCAAATTGTGTTCTCTCTCATCCAGTTCTTCAATGCTCTTTTCCCACGATAATTTGCTTTTATAATTCAACAGATTCTTCATTTTCACAGAGGATGACCCCAATTCGAATATCTTCAGTTAATGAGAATTTGTTCTGGGGTATTAAGAATAACAATAATATAAATTGCTTAGAGCATAATAACGGACATGCTAATTTAGACCAAAGGTCCATCTAGCCCAGTATCCTGTCTACTGACAGTGGCCAATGCCAGATGCCCCAGAGGGAGCGGATCACAACAGGTAATCCTCACTTGATCCTTCCTCTGTCTCCTACTTCCAGAGACACCATTCCTACCCATTCTGGCTAATAGCGATTGATGGACCTAACCTCCATGAATCTATCTAGCTCTTTTTTGAACCCTGTTAAAGTCTGGCAAGGAATTCCACAGGTTGACTGTGCACTGTGTGAAGAAAAACTTGCTTTTGTTTGTTTAAAACTTGCTGCCTATTAATTTCATTTGGTGACCCCTAGTTCTTATATTGTGGGAATAAGTAAATAACTTTTTCACACCAGTCATGATTTTATATCAAATCCCCCCCTAGTCTCCTTTTTTCTTTTCCACATCAGTCATGATTTTATAGATCTCTATCATATCCCCCCGTCAGTCTCCTCTTTTCTAAGTCCTAGTCTTTTTAATCTCTCTTCACATGGGACCCATTCCAAACGCCTAATCATTTTTGTTGCCCTTTTCTGAACCTTTTCCAATGCCAATATATCTTTTTTGAGAAGGGGCAACCACATCTGTACACAGTATTCATCCACATCAGTCATGATTTTATAGATCTCTATCATATCCCCCCGTCAGTCTCCTCTTTTCTAAGTCCTAGTCTTTTTAATCTCTCTTCACATGGGACCCATTCCAAACGCCTAATCATTTTTGTTGCCCTTTTCTGAACCTTTTCCAATGCCAATATATCTTTTTTGAGAAGGGGCAACCACATCTGTACACAGTATTCAAGATGTGGACGTACTATGGTTTATATAGAGGCAATAAGATATTCTCTGTCTCATTCTCTATCCCTTTTTTAATGTCTCCTAACATTCTATTTGCTTTTTTAACTGCCGCTGCACACTGAGTGGATGTTTTCAGAGAACTATCCACAATGACACCAAGATCTCTCTTGAGTAGTTGTAGCCAAATTAGTCCCCATCATATTGTGTATATATAGTTGGGATTATGTTTTCCAATGTGCATTATTTTACATTTATCAACATTACATTCATTTGCCATTTTGTTGCCCAATCACTTAGTTTGGTGAGATCTTTTTGAAGCTCTTCAGTCTGCTTTGGTCTTAACTATTTTGAGCAGTTTGGTATCATCTGCAGATTTTGCCACCTCACTATTTACCCTTTTCTCTAGATCATTTATACATAAATTGAATAGGATACGTCCCAGGACAGACCCTTGGGGGACCCCACTAGTTACTTCTCTCCACTCGGAAAACTTACCATTTATTCCTACCCTTTGTTTCCTGTTTTTTAATCAGTTATCAGTCCACCAAAGGACCTTCCCTCTTATCCCGTGCTTTCTTCATGTGGTCAAATGAGCTAACGGTTCCTAAATTCTGCATAAAGAATTCAATTGGTAGCTTTTTTTCCTGAACCTCCTAGTTGATCTACATCTTGCAGTGTACCCTTTCTAAGCTCCTTCATCTGCCCCAGTGGCTTAATTGTGGAGCGAGAAATGCTGATCTTCTATGTGAGTGTTAATTGAACTTGCAAAATAACATTACCATGGTGGTTACAAATGTAAACTGCTCAAAGTAGATGTACATGTAGGTGAGTCTACCTTAAATACTCTTTCCTGCCATGGAGATTTAACTTCAGTTAACTAATATTGTAAACAGTAGTTTTGGTTTGTCTGAAACTAGAAGGAAAAAAAAAGATGATAAATGTCATTCAAATCTAGATCCATCTGAACTGCGTTCTCCCCATTTATTAGTTGAATTCCATTTGCGATGTGTGGCTAGCAATAAAAATTGTAAACTAGAGAATTAGATTGAATGTTTCAGGAGTTACTTCTCTGGACAGCCAGTTTTATATTTGGGTGGGTTACGTCCCGCTTACGTTGAATAAAGTAAACTCATTAGATCTTATAAGACTTAGATGCTACCTCTATCACACCATCAAAAAATCTCTGTAATAAAATACTATGGGGTATTACACCAAGTGCCCTGCTCGCTATGCTCTCCAACCCCCTTCTCCAGCGACACGCAGCCCTGACTCCCCCGCAGCCACCGGGGAGGGCCAGGCTAGGCTGAGGCGTGGCAGTTGTGGCCTGCCCAGCTCTCTCTCCCCAGCCATTGGGCCCCCTGCAGCCAGACCAGGCTGCTAGGGTGTTGGGCTGAGCTGAGGCTCCCACCCCTCCCCTCCCCTCCCCCTTGGCCAGGAAGGGTCTGGGGCCGCCCCTGCTCTTGGCCCCCAGGCTGTTCGTGCTCTTGGGCCCCCTCCCCCCCTTTCAGCCCCTTACCCTTCTTTCACCAGCCCCAGCTCTTTGCCCCTGACTCTGAGGCTATCCTGGCTCTTGCTCCTCCTCCCCCGCCAGTCCCTTCTTCCCCACCGGCCCTGGCTCTTTCCTTCTCCCCAGCTGCCTAGGAGTGGGGCCTGGGCCAGATTGCACCTGGCTCTTCCCCCACTGCTGCTGGAGTGGGAGGGATGCTCACCAGGGCCTTGCAGGCTCCATGCTCTTCTCTCCAGTCGCTGGGGAAAGGAGAGGAGGGAGACGGCCAGGCTGCAGCAGAAAACTGGAGAGAGGGGAGAGGGAGGAAGGGACTGCAGGACCCAAAGCGACATGATGACATCACGCTGTCATCCCTCAAGAAACACTTTTGTATATGTATATATGCGTGTGTGTGTGTGTAATATATATATATATATAT